TCAAGAATCTTGACAGGTTTTTCCTCATAAGTTAAGCTTTGTTCTAACTCAATAGTTTCAGGTTGTAGCACATGTGACTTATCAGGGATATAACATCTTAACTGAGATACATGAAATACATCATGCACTGTGCTTAGCTCCATAGGTAAGGCTAGTCTATAAGCTACTTTGCCTATTTTTTGCTGTATTTCATATGGGCCAATATACTTTGGGCTAAGCTTTCCCTTCTTTCCAAATCTCATTACACCTTTCATTGGTGACACCTTTAATAATACTTTGTCACCAACCTCAAATCCCTCCTCTCTACGCTTCAAATTCGCGTAGCTCTTTTGGCGATCTTGTGCCGCTTGAATCTTAGTTTGAATTTCCTTTACTTGCTTAACTGTATCCTCGATCATTTGAGGCCCTAATATCATTATTTCACTGATGTCATTCCAAAAAATTGGACTACGACATTTCCTTCCATATAGTGCCTCAAATGGAGCCATGCCAATGCTTTCATGGTAGCTATTATTATAGGAAAATTCAATTAAGTCCAAGCTATCTTCCCATCCCCCTTGGAAATCTATAACACAAGCCCTCAACATGTCTTCCAAGGTTTGAATGGTTCTCTCAGTTTCATCTGTGGCAGGGTGAAATGTCGTACTCATCTTAAGTGTAGTGCCAAAGTTTTCCTGCACACTATTCCAAAACTTTGATAGAAACCTAGAATCTCTATCAGACACAATATCTTTTGGAACTCCATGTAATCTCACAACATATTTGATGTAAGCTTTTGCAAGTTGCTCCATCTTCCAGGTCTCCTTCATTGGTATAAACACTGCAGATTTTGTAAGTCTATCCACCACTACCCAAATGGTGTCATTTCCATTCTTTGTCTTTGGGAGGCAAGTCACAAAGTCCATTGAAATACAATCCCATTTCCATCCAGGGTTTATCAATGGTTACACAGTCCCTTACGGTCTTTTGTGTTCTATCTTTACTTTCTGACAAGTTAGACACTTTGCCACAAATTTCACAACTTTCTTCTTCATTCTCGGCCACCAATACACCTTTTTTCAGATCTTTATATAGCTTGTCCCCTCCTAGGTGTACTGAGTATGGGGTATTATGACCCTCTTCCATCAACTTTCTCTTTACCTCCTCACACTTTTGTGGTACACACAAACAACCCTTGTACCTTAAACTCCCATCTTCATGGATTTTGAAATCCATGGCTTTTCCTTGCTTTATTTTCTCACAAATCCTATCCAGCTTTACATCCCGTGCTTGATTTTATCTTATCTCATCAAATATTGTTGGTTGAATACTCAGATTCGCAAGTATGCCTACTGGCACTCCCCATTCTACCACTTCTAGATTCATTTTCCTCATTTCCCTACATAACTCATCAGCCACGATTAAAGTATTTAGTCCATGACTGGTTTTACGACTTAGAGCATCTGCGACTACATTTGCTTTCCCCTCATGATATTGTATGTCTAAGTCATAATTTTTCGTATACTCTAACCATCTTCTTTGGCGTGAGTTTAAATCTCTTTGAGTGAAAATGTATTTCATACTCTTGTGGTCTATATAAATCCTACATTTCACTCCATACAAATAGTGCCTCCAAATCTTTAGCGCAAAAATGATTGCAGCTAGTTCTAAATCATGAGTAGGGTAATTTACTTCATGAGTCTTTAATTGCCTTGATGCATACGCAATCGCCTTCCCATTTTGCATAAGTACACATCCTAAACCATTCTTAGATGCGTCACTGTATACATCATAAATACCACTATCATCTGGCAGTGTAAGCACTGGCGCTGTGATTAGCTTTTGTTTCAAGAGTTGGAATGCCTCCTCACACTTGTCATCCTAATCGAACTTCTTATCTTTCTTCATTAGAGAGGTCATAAGTTTAGCAATCTTCGAGAAATCTTTCACGAAACGCCTGTAATACCCTACTAAACCTAGGAAACTCCTAACATCAGACATTGTTTTTGGTGTAGGCCAACCCTTCACTACCTCAATCTTTGCTGGATCTACTTCTACCCCATCTTTAGACACGAAATGGCCTAAAAATACCACTTTCTCCAACAAAAACTCGCACTTAGAGAACTTTGCATAAAGCTTGTTTTCCCTTAGTGTTTGTAGAACTGCCCTCAAATGTTCTACATGTTCTTCTTTACTTTTCGAATACACCAGTATATCATCTATGAACACTACCACAAACTTGTCCATAAATGGATGAAACACCCTATTCATCAAATCTATAAAAATTGCTGGAGCATTCGTCAATCCAAAAGGCATTACTGTGAACTCATAATGCCCATATCTTGTTCTAAATGCAGTCTTGGGGATATTTTCATCTGTGATCCTAAGTTGATGGTATCCAGACCTCAGATCAATCTTAGAAAACACAGTTGCGCCTCTCAACTAGTCAAATAGATCATCAATCCTAGGTAAAGGGTACTTGTTCATTATGGTGAACTTATTCAACTCCCTATAATCAATACATAACCTCATACTCCCATCTTTCTTCTTCACAAATAATACTTACGCACCCCAAGGCGATGCACTAGGTCTTGTATTTCCCTTTTCTAACAAATCCTGCAATTGCTCCTTCAACTCACTCATTTTTGCAGGTGCCATGCGGTAAGGTGCCTTGGAAATTGGTGTTGTTCCTAGAACTAGCTCTATTGTGAAATCAATCACTCTTTTGGGTGGCATTCCATGAATCTCTTCTGGAAACACGTCCAGAAATTCACCTACTACTTCTATATTCTCAGGCTTAGTTGTCTCTTCGTGTTCCATATTTCTCACACTACAAAAATATACTGGATGCCCCTTCTTAATATACTTTGCCAATAGCAAAGATATGATCCTTGGGCACTTGGTTTCACCATGCATCCAATATGTTACCAATTCGTTATCAATTGTACTCATTTTTACCTTTTGCGATCGACAATAAATCTCTGCACTGTACTTACTCAACTAATCCATTCCCAAAAAATGACATCAAAGTCACTCAATCCGAATTCAATAAGATCCGACAAAAACACCTTTCCTTCGATCTCTAAAGGTACATTTCTAAAGGTCTTGTTACATTTTACTACCCCACCCGTAGGAATAACTATAGGCAAATCTACCTCATCTACGGTTTTCAAACAGTTTTATAATTTTGAAACAATGGCCTTTGAAATGAAAGAAAAAGTCGCACCAAAATCAAATAAGACTTTAATAGGAATATAGTTGATAGAACAGGTACCAGTGATGACATCTCTCATGGAATTAGCCTCATGCCTACTCATAACATTCAACTTTCCTGCAACTCCACCTTTCTGTTGGTTGTTTCCATTATTATTGTTGGTTTTTTCCGCATTCTGTTGTGCTCCCTTATTCCTAGAATAGTTGTTACTCCCTTGAAAGTTTCTTTGAGCCCCTCCTTGATTATTATTCTATTTGTTTCAGTTAGGATCCTTGGAGAAACATTCATACTCCATGTGTCCTAACTTGTTGCAAGCATGACAAGTAACCAAATTTCCATCACAATCCTTACCAGGGTGATCGTTCTTACACCTCCTACAGTAGAAATGCCTTGCTCCCCTGTTATTTCCCTGGGTAGAGTTCTTAACTCCACCATTAAAATTTCGTCCTCCATGACGATTGTTACTTGGAAATTATTGTTGTTACCAAAGTTATTGTTGTTATGGTTGTACCTTTGCTTCTTAAAGTTGTTTTGGTTACCTTGTGGGTTTCCAGAATGTTGGCTCATCTCCTTTCTCTTTTCTTTCCCTTCCATATCAGCTAACTCTTTCCTTTTCTTCAGTTCCAGCGCATAAAGATGTGCAACCCTACCGTACACCTCATCCAAGGTCTCAAAAACTTGACCATACAGTTTTAACTGCAAATCCATAGTCAGGCCACTCTCAAACTTCCTAGCCTTAGACTTCTCTGTAGAAACAGACTCCTTAGCAAATCGTGACAACTCAACTAACTTGGTATAATATTCGGTGACTGTCATTTTCCCCATCACAAGGTTGGCAAATTCCTTAGCTTTTTGTTTCTGTAAGAAGCTAGGGTAAAACTTATCCCTAATCTTCTCCTGAAACATAGTCCAGTCAAATCCAGGTATTGCCCTAATGGTAGCTTCAGTTTGCTGCCACCAAAGGTCAGCCTCACCCCTAAGGTAGTAGGTAGCACAACCTACCTTTGAGTTCTTTGGACACCCCACTGCCCCGAACAGTTTCTCAAACTCCCTCAACCAGTTTTCCAGTATAGTTGGATCAGGTTCTCCTTGATAGGTTGGTGGCTTGCTCTACGCCACCTTCTTTAACAGTTCTCCCTGAGCATCTCCATTATTGGTTGAATTTCTTGCCAACTGTTGAGCAACAGCTGCCAATTGTCTCACAACTTCACTCAACTCTCCACCATCATTGTTGTTACCACTCCCTCCTGTCATTCTTCTTTGCCTGAATTAACACAAAGGGGTCTTTATTAAAAACGGTTCTAGCTAGCTCTCAAGTTAGACACTCATCCAACTAATTCACACCCTTGACATATACACATTAAATTTCAAGCTAACAAATTGGAATTTAAAATTCCCAAAATTCGTAGCTTTGTCAACCAAATATTGATTGCTAACCAACCACACATTTAATAAAGCATCACATTTATAAATAAAAATAATTCTCATGAATTCCCTAAGTTTAGAAATAAATCATTGGATTATTTTTTAATAAGGAATGGCTTAATGGAGTAGTGATACGAAATAAATTATTTGGAAACAAAATGAATGATTTGTCAATAAAATAAATTAATTGACATAGAAATAAATGGAATTTTATTGCTGAGTAAGAAAATAAATGGAATACTGAAATAAAATGAGTTTAAGTAACTTATGCAACTACATAAGTTTACTGACTCACTATGGACATGCCCACTAGCAGAAAAACTTAAATGAGCACCGCATAATGCGCACCGATTTTTAAAAATCGGTGCGAAAAAAAATAGGCGAGATTGAGGGAAAGAGTTTTCGCACCAGTTTGAACCAAACCGGTGGGAAAAATGAGTTTATCGCACCGGTACGGTTCGAACCGGTGCGAATGCTATGAAAAAAAAACTGAAATATCTTCTTTCTTTCTCTTTCCTCGAAATCTCCTCCTCTCTCACCTACCTTAGCTTCTCTCTCCTCCTTCATTCTTCTTCATCTTCTATAAGGGCTGCGATTTTGACCCAATTTTGAGGAGCCGCGACTTTCCCAGTCACCGTCATCCTCACCGGAGCCGCTTCGAGGTTCTCATGACCCACTATCACCCTCACGCTTCACCTGCTCTCCACGACTCTACCACTATCGTCACTCTTCGCCGTCACATTCTTCTCTGCTCCTCCAAATCTTTCCTTTATCAATGTCTTCTGCATAGATCTGGTCTAAGTAATCTCTCTATCTTTATTTTAAAGATTCAATTTGAATTGAACAAGTTTGAAATTCTAGAGTTAATTTGATGAAGGCGATTGTGTTATTTATAGTTATTACATTTTAATGTTGATTATTGTTCATAATAATCGTGCTATCTAAGTATGGAGTAGGCAATTTGTAGCATTTTCCTTCGTTCTTTCCCAAATACCAACTTTGCTTTTCAGTCTAAATGGCGAAATTACTCCCTCGAAGAAGCTATTTCGTTTGTTGGGCGAAATGGGACTGTCATTGTTTGTAAAGTTAGTGAACCTTACTTTGAATTTTTGAACAATTGGTTGATTAGTGTACATCAAGATAAAATTTTGGTGATTGCTGAAGATTATAACACTTCGTATTGGGTTAATCAAAGGTGGTCTGGTCATGCTATGCTAATTCCTCCAGTTCTTGTATCTAATTCTACCCATGAATTTGGTTCCTTGGTATGATTTTTCTTGCCATATTTTTTTCAATTTAATTTATCATATTGCTGATTGATTACTATTGCTATTGGGAGTTTTTTGTTTTTTAGGGTTTTGATCTGATTTAGGTGTTTGATCTTATGTGAACTTGTTATTTATAAGGGCTAGTGTGTTAGTAAATAGTTTGTGAAATTGTGATGTTACTTGTTGATATATTTAGTTTGTGGAGTTGTTCATGCGCAAGGGAGCTGCTTATATTGAGAATGGAAGAAATGCAAATGATATAGGGATGAAAGTTAAGAAATGTTGAGTGGTCATATACTGTTTTAGGCTGTTTTAACCTGTCTTAGTGCACATAATTTTTCTTAAGAAATGCAAATGAGCATTTTTACTATCGCTTTATGAACAATGTGCTGAGTGGGGAGTTGATTTTGGTAATGTAATGGCTGCCTTTAAACTTCTAGTACAAAGTTTAATCATGCTCTACCTATTAATACCTCTGTCTCGATCAATTGCAGATTTGATGTTTTCTCCCTCTATCTATTTGTCACAAGTCTTGATTATGTCTTCCATAAAGTATAGAATTATATCAATCACAAGGTCATATACTGTTTTAGGCTGTTTTTACTTGTCTTAATGCACATAATTTTTCTTACATATTGTTTCTATCTTGATCGCAGTGAAGAATGATTGTGGTTTTGGGGAGGATTTGGACATTAAAGAAATTTAAAGCAATTTGCATTTTATTTGGACTTGGGTACTTAATTATATTAGACACATATACGTGTCCAAGTGTTAAGCTAGACTATTTTGCGTGATTGTATGTCTGATTTTTGAAATGGTATTATGAACAGATTGCTTTGGACAGATTTCTGCCTCATGTTTAACAGCATTTTAATGCTGGTAAACTACTTGCAGTCCTGCGGGAGAGTATAATCTCCAGTTAGGAATCATACAAAGAATTGCATCCCAACATGGTTGCTACTTACTCTGTCAGCTTTGTATCTACTTTGGAGATCTATGAATTTTTTTTCTCTTCTTACATCCTGTTGCAATAATGTGTGTATCAGGACAAACTACACTCACTTATTATTTTGCTACAATATTTCATATGAACTTTTGCTGTGAAATTATATTATTGTTGTTATGCTGTTAGTCTTTCCGTGCAGCGCTCAAGTATTCAAAGACCACCCTTTTCTTTTGAGATGAAGGCTAATATGGAGGGTTACTGTGAGGATGAGATCAAGGCATCTGGCTGTTGTTCCCTCTTCTTGGCATATTGAGCCAATTGAGGTATGCTAAGCTAGCTACTTCTTTGCTAAACCTTTAGCTTTTTTTTTTTTATTATTGTTTTAAATGCATTGTTCTTGTTTTCTTGAGATTCAAGGTGATGATTAATATGGTTTATATAATATGAATTCATTAACAAGTGATAGAGAAGTCTTGCCACAAATGGTGTAGAAAACATTTTAGTGATAGAGACCTAAAATCTCTTCCACTTTATGTATAATTCAAAATTCTGGCTGAGAGAATGAAAGAGGGAAGAAGCTTAGAAAGTCTATCTATAGCCTTTAGCTCAAAATTTATCACCAGTCAACAAGATTTACCTATGGAAAGTTCTTAACCTCTAATAAAAAATTAAAAGAGTCAATTAAACGGGAAATTAATTTGCATTTCATATTAATAAAGACTTATTTTAAGGGAAACTGTTGTGTATTAGTGTATGCATCCCTTATCTTGGCTATAAGGGAACTCTTGGAACCATGGATTTGGTTATGTTATTAATTTCATGATATTTGAGCTAACAAATGCCATGAAAAAATAAAAATTGAGCTGTGAAGTTGACTTTGGAAAAAAGTAGTCTGCGATTCTTATTTTTAACTGCTTATGCTTTAATATTTATTACCTCATCAATTTCGTTGTTAGTTAGCATATTTTATAAAGAGCATCTCTCTAACACTGCTGATTGTGCTTTTGATGTCTTGCAGAAGGTATCTCAGTTCATGGGTCCATTGTCGCATTCACAGTTCTTCACAATGTGAATTGCAATCATGGATTTATATACGTGACCTCACAGGTTATATCCTCACATTTGGCACATTAGTTGATAATCCTAACTTTTGTGGCACTTGACTGATATTACTTTTTCACTTCTATGTGGTAGGGTGTGCTTAAAATTTGCCAGCTGCCATCTGGACTGAGTTATGACAATTACTGGCCCATGCAGAAAGTAACAGTTTTCCTCTTTTTTTTTTTTACAACTCAGAAGTTTGTATGTTATAATGCATAAAATTATTTATTATATCTATGAGCTAACTAGATTTATTTTTTTGTTAGATTCCATTGAAGGGCACTCCCCATCAAGTCACCTACTTTGCTGATAAGAATTTATACCCACTTATTGCTTCGTTTCCTGTGAGTTCCTATAACCTTTGTTCTTTCATGAGTATTAAAGCTTTTGCTTGTTGGAAATTTGATGGTTGAAGAGTCGGTAGCTTAAATTTTCCATATTGTAACTTTGTTGATTGAGGGTCAATTTATTGATAATCCTTGGTTCATTTTGCCCTCATTTGTGTATGTTGCACTTATTTTTGCTTTCAGTATTGGCGAGTCTGTTAGTCAGTGCCTTGCATTGCACATGCTTTAATCCAGCAGATAATCTATAAATCGATAACTTCTAGCTGTAAGTGAGCGGGAACATCTTGATAAGTTTAACTCAAAACAGTCCCTTCTGTCATAGATCCATAAGTGGCATTGCCTTAGTATTTTGATGCTGCCTTGTGCTATTTTGTGTTGAAAACAAGTCTGGCATTGTACTAATACGCTTCTTGCCTTCCTATTTTCTACTGCTTTCTTCTCAATGTACTTTGATAGGTGAATTATAATCTGAAAGGTGCTTCTAATATATCATGCAACATGATTCTATGCTGCAAAATTTGTTTTTCTGTGACTGTCTATGATTCTAATACATCTATGTGGAGAAGCTCAAGTACTGTGGCTGTCTGGGTAATGACAAGGTGATTCGTTTTTCTGCTTGATTTTATGTTCAGTGATTGATAATTGTAATAGTGATAGATTATAAATTGGTGAGCATACCGTGGCATTATCACCTTATCAAGTTGTCTGTTCAGAAGATATCTCCTTCAAATCTGGTATTCATAGTGTCTGAACTTGTTGCATCTGTGTCTTTCTGGAGGAAGTGGTGATAATGATAGATTATAAATTGGTGCAGCCTAAATGGTATGACAGGCTTTAGGTTCTCGCTGTGCAGGGAGTTTTCTTCAACTGTTATTTTGTACTCTATTTGCTTTCCCTTAAGCTGGCACACAGAGTGGTTGGTTACTTGGAAGAAGAGGCAATTCATTCATACACAGAGTATCTTAAGGACATAGACAGTGGTGCGATTGAAAATGTGTGCGCTCCTGCTACTGCCATTGACTACTGGAGGCTGCCAAAGAATGCTACTTTGAAGGATGTTATGACTGTGATCCATGCTGACGAAGCTCACCATCGTGATGTCAACCATTTTGCTTCTGTGAGTACTGAAATTATTACTTGTTTTACTGATCCATGGGCCTACTTATGAACTGTCTTCCTGTCTTTTGTCAGATAATTTTGCATTTAGACATCTGCCTTTTGTCACCTGATCAGCTATGGCAGTATTCTGTTATCAACTTACCATGTAACTCTTTAATTGGTGTAGAACTGATGAAGTATATGTTTTCGCCATACAGGATTTGCACTTTCAGGGGAGGCATCTGAAAGAAGCACCAGCTCCTGTTGATTATCATTAAAGCTATACATAAGTCTGCATATTGCCACGTATATGTTGCCTGTTTTGTTTCATAATCTATTGGCATGAATTTATAAAACTTCTACTGTTTGTGTGATTATTTCCTTCCTTCCTTTTCTAGTCTTTATGGAGCTCAAACATTGGTCCAACTTAATAAATATACAACAGGTGATTATGTAACCTTGTATGTTATTTTATTTTATATTTTATTTTTTTGGATGAAAATTGTAATATTACAGCCTTTTTTAATGAAAATATGTAACTTTATATATATGTTAGTGTTTATATATCAATTTAAGTAAAAAAAAAAAAAAATTAGGGCATTTTTTTTATTTTTTTGGGCCATTTTTCGCACCGGTTCACAGCAAGAACGGGTGCTAAAATGTTTTTTTTTTTATTTGTTTGGGCCATTTTTCGCACCGGTTCACAACAAGAACCGGTGCAAAATCTAAGTTTTCGCACCGGTTTTGAACCGGTGCGAAATCTTTTGGTTTTTGGCATCCCTCAAGTAAGGGCCAAATCAAAATCGGTGCGAAATGGGGGTTTTGAACCGGTGCCCATTTGTATTTTTCGCCTAGAGGCCACTTATTGCTTTACTGGAACTGAAATAATTAAAATGCGGAAACGAATCTAAGAATCTTAAAAGAGATGAAACTACAAAAATCTAGTCCTTTCGAACATTGTCCCTCTTGTAGGTAGATTGTTTGTAGCTTCTAGAATCGAATTCAGGGTCATCTTCTTCCTCCATTGGTTCAGGTGACTCTGGTTCTTGCTCTACTTGAACAAACTCTTCGTCTTCCTCATCATCAAATTTGAAATATCAATTATAATTGGAGTGAGGTGGATTTGGATTTGGAATTTCCATATGGAACTATCAACAGTGTGGTTACTCTCTTCCATCATCTTTCCTCCTTCCTGCCCTCCACCTGTCCCTGTGTGGTTACCCTGAGTGGGAGAAGAATTTGCTGACTGATGACTAGTGGAAGGGGAATTATTCCCTGCCGGAATATTATAGTAATGGTTGGGATATGGAATATTTAAGTGATGACAATGATCTTTCTCAACTTTAACAAGGTAAGAAATTAAGTATTTGTAATTAGGGTACCACTGTCCATAGAAATTTTTATATTTAGAGTAGTTTGGAATGTCCCCTGGTAAATAGAAATTAGAGAACTTTGATTTAACAGCAAGATATGGAGGTTCATCTGGAAGACAATGAATGACTATAGTAGAAACTCGATCAGGAAGATCATAATGCTTGTCTCCTAGGACATTGCTCATGTGGGAACAATAGAATTGAATTTTGTTGACATAGTCAAACGGATGCTCATAGTCGTTCTTGATTAGTGTACCAATTTGGGAAAGATTACTAGGAAGAATTGGCATCCTGAAAAGGAAAAGGTTTAGAAAAGAATTCATTTCCCCCAAAAATAATAACAATACAGTTCTTGCATGAATTAGGTTCAATGTTCAATCAAACAATTTCACTTATTCTAATCATATAATCACATGCTTTCAATTAATCAATCCACATGATCAAACATCACAACCTAAAATTTAATGCATACAAGAACATGATTATTTCTAACTTATATGCCCAAATTCTTTCCTACCTAAGCTACCAACATGCTTTTAAAAGCTTTTAACACATAATACTTACCTCAATCCTTGCTTTCTTGCAAAATGAACAAACTAAAATTTTTTTTTTTTACTCCTTATTTTTAAAATTAATTTTCGAAATTAATTTTCCGAAAAAACCAAAACATTCGGCCACTTAAAAAAAAATTCGGACACTTCTAATAAATAAAAAAATTTGGATGTTCAGTTTAAAAAAAATAATAAAAAAAAATTCGGATTTTCTAAAAAAAACTAAATAAATAAATTTTTCCGATTTCCAAAAATTAAAATAAATGAAAATAACCCTCTTTTAAAATAACTTACTTAAATAAACATTTGGCCAAGTTTAAAACAAAACACTTTAAAATACGTTTTTAGCTTTAGTGGTAACAAAAAATCTCAATTCAACCTAAGCTCCAAGATACCACTTTGTAACACCCTAGAAATTCCTTTCCTTTAAACACCAAATTTTTCCGTTTTAAAATACGTAGTAGGAAAATCTAAGACATTACTGTCACCGTGAAAACGGCTAAGGCAATTATCAAAGACTCACACAGTAGAAGACTATCTTTAAAACCATTTAAAAACAAGTCAATTTTAAAAATTCAAACAAAGGCAAACAAAGTTAACCTACAACTTGGAATCATTGTAGACCCTTAGAACCAAACAATATTAAAAACCTTTACGTTAGTCTCATGAGCATAATAAAATAAATACACTAGTAGAAAAACCTAAATGGGCACCTCCAAATGCGCACCGGTTTTTGAAAACCGGTGCGAAAAAAATAGACGGGATTAAGGGAAAGAGTTTTCGCACCGGTTCTAACAAAACCAGTGCAAAAAGTGAGTAAATCGCACCGGTTCAGTTCGAACCGGTGCGAAAGCTGTTGTAAAAAAATAAAAAAATAAACCGGTTATAATTCTCTTTCAATTCCTCGATCTTTCCTCCACTCTCATCAGCCTCTCTCTCCTCCATTGAAGCGTACTCGACATTCTCCATTGAAGGGGCTTCTGAGCTTTCTCTAAGCACTTCCTCAACCTCCTTCTCTCACCTTCGATCTCCTTCTCCATAACCGCCACTTTCCCTTTCCTTTCTTCTCTCTTTCTATCTCCTTCTCCTTCTCCATAACCAAGCACAACCACCATCGCCGCCGCCGTCAATGTGAACCAAATACAACAACAACAAACTTGAATCAATTATCAATTCAAAAATCACAAATTCGAGGTATGTGCTCTTCGATTTGAAATCTAGGTTTTATGATTTTTTTTTATTATTAATGATGAACAACTGAAATTTTGATTGAATTTAATGGTGAGAATGTGATATGATAGGATTTCTGATTTTTATTTATTTCTTTGTGATTATGGTGACGGTGGTCGGTGCTAGTGGTGGTGGGTTCTTGGGTGTGGTGGTGGTATCGTGGGTGCGGTGGTGGTTTCGTGGTTGCGGTGGTGGTTTCGTGGGTCGTGAGCTGCTGCTACGAGTCTAGTGGTGGTGGTTTTGCATTATATAGCTTTCATCATTCATGGTCTTCGCATTGATCAAATCGAACATGGTCGTATTCTCCGCTCCTTCAATGTTCCTCAACGTCTCTTGGTTCGTTTCTCTTTCTTCAATTTTTATGATAATTTTTGCTGGGTTTTGTAATTAGGGTTTCTAATTTGACTCTGAATCTCCGAAATTGTTTTAGGGATGATATTGTAGAATACTGCGAATACTCTTCATGGTGGCGCAATTGCGTCTTTGGACGATTTGGTGGGTTCAGCTGTTGTTTTCACTGTTGGAGCTCCGTCTAACGATATAACTTGATGCCAAGGCATATTGATCAAAACACACACATACACACATTATACGCTACCACTATGAGACCTAGATATGTCTAGGCCTCTGGTGTGCCTTCTTCTCTTTCCCCTCTTTCTCATTCAATTATGTTTTCTATTTTTTAGTTGGTGTAGTAATTGGCTTAATCCTTAAAGTTGTTTATTTTGAATCATGTTCATGTACAAACCACCTTGTGATCACCATATGCTCAGTTGTTTGTGGCAATGTTTTGCAGGCAAGGCCTATAATGCATGGAATGCCGAGCACGGGGATAACAGGCTCTCAGATACGGCCTGGTGGGGTTCCTCCTTCGGCACTTCACCAGCAAAGACCAATGCAGGCAACTTCTGGTTTTTTTCTCTGATTTTGCTGTTGAGGCTATTCTGTTTTGGTTATGAAATGCAGGAGTGTGATGAAGTTAGCCTGTTTAGGTTATGAAATGTTTTATTATTGTTGTTGTTCTGATTTATTGTTGACTGAGATAGAGGATTGTGTGTTGCCTGTTAATAAATGGTTGCCAGGAACTATGATCTGTTGCTGCTAGGGGATGTATGATTGTGATATGTTGTTGTTGTTGCTATTGATGTTGGTGTGTGGCCTGAGTTTCTTAGATTATGTCCTTTTTAATGTCCCTGGGTTAATGTTATTTGGAATATGTCTCTTAATTATGTCCATTCTTTCTTCTGGTTAATGACCCCTCCCTCTCTGGCAAACTTATGTGTTTGAGATTAAAATCTCTAATGAATTGATAAGTACTTTCTTGATATGATTGGCGTACAAGACTGAGCATACCACAAATGGACTAAAAAAAATGAATTTTAAAAGGGGAAAAAAACCTGAAACCTGATCGTGCTTGATCCCTAATTATTCAATTGGTCCATTTCTGATTAGAATGTACATTTTGGGTCAAACCATGTGAAGAACGAGTATATCACTACATTTTGTACTGTTTCTCTATCATATGCTCTCAATGTCCCTAAAATCAAAGTAATCAGATTTAGTAAAGTTGATTGGCCCTTTTATAATCTTCTGGGATGGCCATAGGAATATTTAAGAAATATTTTATTTTTGTTCTGGGAAATACATTTTTGAAAATCTTATCTTCCGTTTAGGACAAAAGTCAAGAGTAATATCCTTATATCACTGCAGGCCTGCAGCTGTGGTCTGGTGAAAGCTGGATGTCAAATTATTATAACTGTGTGATCAACGATGCTCATGACTGAAAAGATTTAATTTATCTTGTATATGTGCAACACTTGAGCTCGTCCTGGGCACCTAATTTTTATTCATTGATTGGAAATTTTTCAACAAGTTATGGAATGTATTGAGCTGTGAAGTTGACTTTGGAGAAAAGCAGTCTGAGATTCTTATTTTTAACTGCTTATGCTTTAATATTTATTACCTCATCAATTTCTTTGTTAGTTAGCATATTTTATAGAGAGCATCTCTCTAACATTGTTGTTTGTGCTTTTGATGTCTTGCAGAAGGTATCTCATCAGTTCATGAGCTATATAATTTTAGGATCATTTTTAAGGTAGGGAACTAAGTGACAAACTAGTGTGTTTAGTGCTGGTAAATCATGTGTTAGAAGCTATTTGTTTGATGGCAATACATAGGCCTTGTTTTGCCTTTGCTCTCTTTCCAAACAGTGGGAGACAAGACAAACATAAGAATGCATCTCATGATTTCATCATTGTATGCAGGGTAAAGACAAGACAGCGGGAGAAAGAAGGATAGCAATATGTATATTTGACGATGTTGTTGAGCAGTGTCGTGAAGCTGCTCTCAAGTAAGCCTAGC